GATTAAAATGTATTAGGGCCCCTGTAACATAATCTATGGCGAATGTGTCTGACTATTGCTCGACGTTTCTACTTAAGATGGAATCAGTATACATTACTGAATTGCTGTAGGTATCATTGACTGTGAAATTTGTAAATAAATTTTTATTTATTTCTGAGTATTTTAGTACTACCATTACTACAACTGACAAGGTATTTTTTAACCGATTTCGAAAAGGAGGAGGTTACTCAATTCGACATGTATACTTTTTTTTTTAATGTCTGTCCACCGATTACGCCGAGATGGCTTGACCAATCGGAATGAATCCTGTTGCATCTTGTAGACCATGCCCCCCCCCTGGTGGTCTCATTATCACGACTTTTTGCGATTTGTCATTTTTTACCTGTTTTTTTGCCAAAAAACTGTAATTTTGATTATGTATATTCGCCGATTACGCCGACATGGCTTGACCAATTAGAATGAAACCTGTTGCATCTTGTAGAGCGTGTTCTCCCGGTGATCCTGCTATCAAGACTGTTTGCGATTTGTTATTTTTTACCCGTTTTTTTTTTTTTTAACAGAAAAATGTTGTCTTGCTTCTTACTCCGAGACCGATGGACCAATCAGATGAAACTTCTTGCATCTGGAAGAGCATTTGCCATTTGGTCCCATAACAAAACATTTGTCCTTATTTTGTTTTTTATCACTTTATATCTCTTTCCATCGCAAAAAGCGTACTATTTCACGTATATTTGGCCTGCAATCGATGTAACCCCTTACATTTTGCTGCCGGAGAGGTTTTCGCAATGATCACAGATGCAGAAATTTATGGATTTCTGTATTGTTTATAACTATTGTTATCGCAAAATTCCTATTATATGATGTAACTCGGTGAGGAAATTACCGAGCGCGATGGAACCTTCCGCATTTCATAATAGATGAATTCGTGATGTTTCTATTTGCAAAAATTTATGGACACTTTCATTGTTTAAAATCATTGTTGGTGCAAAATTGCTATGCTCTGATGTAGCTCGACAAGGAATTTACCAAACGCAATCAATCCTTTCACATGTAGTTGCACATATATTCCTGATAATCCCATTTGCAATTATACAGGGTGTCCAAAAAATATTGGTTGTCCTTGAATAGGGTGTTTCGGGAGGCTGACTTGAAACAATTTTTTCTTAACGAAAATGTTGTTCGAGGCTTCGTTAAGAAGATATTGACAGAAATACCCGACCAATCAGAGCGCGAGTATGCCAGTGGAGCGCGGACGGTAGCGTAGGCTCCACAGACTCTCATCCGGCATACTCGCGCTCTGATTGGTCGTGTGTTTCTGTTTCTGGAATATCCCCTTAACGAAGCCTCGAACACTATTTTCGCTAAGGAAAAATTGTTTCAAATCACCACGCCACCCGCCCCGGAACCACCCCTTTCAAGGATTTTCAACGTTTTTGGGTCATCCTGTATGTTGCTCATAACTATTGTTATTGCATGAAACCTATTGGTTATAGATTGCCACTAAAAAAAGTGAAATAAAATAATTTTTTGGAAAAAAAATTTAACCGACTTCAAAAAAGTTACAGTGAAAAGTATGAAATAATTTCTAGTTAATTTATATGAATACGCACTAGCTCTAGATATAATTGCGTAAAAGTATGGGAAAATGCAGTGAAAATTCTGAAATAATTTCTATTTAAACTGCATTATTATTCACCATCGTTTGATGAATTTGGTTAAATTATTAAATACATCATATTAAATGCAATGCACTTTTTTCGGAGGCGGCGCAGAATTTAAAATTAAGTATATTCAAAATTGTCAAACTTGGTTTTACCAAAAAATATGGCCTTTAGTTATTGCTATTACTATATCATATTCATTAACACTATTCAATATCGCCGTCACCAAATACTATCCCAAACCTATTCATACAGTATTTCCATGGGGAGAGTTTATACATTAGCAGTAATCAATATTGCCGCCCCTCCCCTCCAAAAAAGACCCAAATCTACTCCAACTATATTTCCGTGTACATACTATATACATTAACTATTAATTCCACATAGACAATAAACATGTGTACATTGACAGCATTCAATACTGCCGCCTCTATCAAAAGCTAACCCAAACCGGAATTAAAAAGTTTTTACATCTGCGCCGCCTCGAAAAGGTGCATTGCATTTAATATGATGTATTTAATAATTCAACCAAATTCATGAAACGATGGTGAATAACAATGCAGTTTAAATAGAAATTATTTCAGAATTTTCACTGCACTTTCCCATACTTTTACGTAATTATATCTAGAACTAGTGCGTATTCATTTACATTAACTAGAAATTATTTCATACTTTTCACTGTAACTTTTTCGAAGTCGGTTAAATTTTTTTTCCAAAAAATTATTTTATTATTATTAAAAGACAGAAATTGACTGCTTTTGATTATTTAAAATTCGACTCCTTTTCGAGATCCTACAAAATTTTTGTGAATTTCAAATGTGTTATTGAGTAGAGGCTTGCAAAATCGATCTTGACTGTAAAATTTGAAAATCAATTTTCATTTATTTCTGTGTTTTTTAGTACTGTTATTAAATTAGCAAGGCTTCCCCTATTAGCAAAAATCTGAGATTGACTACTTTCAACTATAGAAAATTCAACCCCCTTTTCAAAAACCAACCAAATTTTTATGAAATTAAAAAGTGTGCGATTCAGGTCGTGTTTAAATTCATTTTCATTGATTAACCTTTTCCAATTTCTCGATATTGCTCTCATGAAGATACAGTGCCAACTATAATTATTAAAAAAAAAAAATACATGTTGAATTAAGAAACCTCCTCCTTTTACAAATTCGGTTAAAAATAATATTTTTACTACACGACAAACGTGTATATACTGCAGTTTGTAATTCTTGAAGCTGACATTTACATACTGAAATTTGTTAAAACACATGCACATGAATCATAAGTGAAAGTTATAGTCGCTCAAGATTGTGGACGGTCATTTCCATCATGCTGTTTGGTTACTGTGATGGTTTATCTCCGTCATTGTGTTTGGTTACTCTGCAACTGCATCTCTCATGTTTTCATGGAAATCATTGGACACGTCTACTCTATCTTTCACATAGAAAAGATAACTATAAAGAAGCACATACAGTAAAGGCAGCGACTTTGAGCAATCATGTTTTCGTGTGATATAAATATTTTGGAATATATTTAAAAATTCTTGATTTCAAGGTACAGGAAGATTGTCTAATTTTTATTTACATTATTATTATGCAAGCATTAAACTTGGAATACCTTGTTAAAAATATTACAAACCAAGTAATCAACTCTTTGACGAAACATAATAATTTGTATGTAAATCAAGCTTAAAATATGCATTTTTAGTTTCACATTGTTATCGATATTTTGTTGCATTTTCTATCAACTCAAATTTGATTTATTAAAATTGTCATTCATATATATTTCACGTGTTTTTTACAACAATTAAACACTCTAATAAAAACACCAAGAATCACTCAATTAGAGTGTCGTATACGTTAATTTTGTTTGCCACCAATGTAGTAGAAAACAATATTTATTTAAGCAATAACATATTTTTCGACTTAAATAAATTCCAACTTTGCTTGCTTTCAATTTCTAAAATTCATTTCAATTTCTAAAATTGATTCAAGCGCGATTTACGTCGTCTAACACATATAATAATAGCATAAAAAAGTCAATTGATGATAAAACGCTCGTTCCTGCGTGTTACGTCATGCACGCAGCCGAATGAAGTTCATGAAACTTTTCATTTCCGCATACGAGGCACTTCGGCAAGCTGTTGAGTTTTTAATTAAGCTAGTTCGCCGTGAAAGTGCCCACACGCGTATTGTTCGAAGTATAATTTAAAGAACCCTAATGAGATTCGCTCGCCCACCTTAGGTTTTTCTTTCAGCGTAAAAATTGGGAGATATAGGCATAGCACGTCAGAATTCCACAAACGTGTCTTCGCGTGTCTATTTTTTTAATTCACTTTCTATTGCTTTTCAATTTATATTTCTATCTGTAATCTTTCGTATTATCTTTTCATTAAAAATTATGTTTGTTATATCTACTTCACTGCGTTTCGCGAATAGACTAATTCTATGTGTGATAAAAAATAGAAAATAAAAAGTAACATTTTTTGATAAGAGACTTTGCTTTGGGGAACATCAATTTTCAAAATTTATTGGGGCATCTATAAGCGAATACAATCTATGGCGAGGGTGTCTGACTATTGTTCGACGTTTCTACTTAAGATGGAGTCAGTAGGCATTACTGAATTGTTGTAGGTATAGTACTATTTATTTTTCAATTTTACTATGTCTTACTTAGTTAAAATTTATTTTGGATCCTACAACTGAACATAATTTATCACGAGCGTGTCTGACTATTGTTAAACGTTTCTACTTAAGATGGAATCAGAATCAGTGTTATAGGTATAGTAATATTTATTTTTCAATTTTATTATGTTCGAATTACTTAGGACTAATTAAAGCAGATAATACATAATAATGTTATACAAAATGCAAACAATATGGAAGAATATAAAAAAGATTGAAAGTAAAGTTCATGTTATAATATTTGCAGAATAAAATAAATTCCTATTTACGTTCAATTTTTGTAGACACGTTCGCGAAGATTTTATTTTGCATAAAGATTCGCAGTCTATACATAACGAATGTTATATTTTCATATATGTTTGCAAATGTTATCTACTTCAAAAGAATAAATATAGTATTATTAATATACAGAAAAATCTAGAATAATAATACAAAATAATATAGAAAATAAATATATTATTATTGAATACTAACTTATGGAATTGTTCTATACAATAAAAAATATAAATAACAAAGCTGATCAGAGTAATATTGTTACAATTAAACCATTCGATATCTAACCAACATCTCACTTAATCTACAATATCTAACAACATGTAATTATTTCTTTATTTGACTATTACATATTAAATACCATGAATTATTTCTTGTTACAGGTTCGTGTCTGAGTTATGGGCATTCATGTTGGGGAGGTACGTCTTCCATTCCTCTTTAAACCGCTACGACCATAATACATGACACAAATTTTTCAAAATATATCACTTCTTAACAATTTAACCATTATTTCAATCCAGATATTCCTGTTATGTCAAATATCTTAACTGAAATTGAAGTAACTACTTGTATTAATTATTTAAAATTTTCTTCTGGTCTTTCTATAATTAATAGATTACAAGCACTTGCCAGCGAGGAATTATTTTCCATAATTGAACCAATTTGCTCACCCAGTGACAGAAACAAATTTCATAGTACTACTACCATCGTTGCAGGTCATGGTAAACGCAGCGGAGGACATAATGCCAACAACGCATATTTCGTTACATCGAAAACGATGAGCGACCTACAGCAAGAGGTACCATCGTTTCCGAAGGAACAATGGGTGTTGTCACGGCTGATCGCTCGACCTTTGACGTCCAACAAGTACAGAGGAAGATGGGACAGACCTTTCAAAGTAAAAACGCACCTACCGCAGCATTGGGAAGAGAATGAACTGAACGCACATATGATCAATGATGAACCAATCAGGTAAGTTGTATCTGTAAGTGAATTATTTATAAACTTTGACAGAAGTAGTATTTATTCCCTTAATGTAATAGTCAGGTTGATTGATATATCATGATGCTTTTATTTAAAAAATTAATCAGTTTTGTTTCACTCAATATGTACATTACTGAATTTTTAACTATTTGATAATTATGATAACTTTACATTGCCAAGTGAATTATTTATAAACTTTGACAAAAGTAGTATTTATTCCCTTAATGTACTATCATTAATCAGGTTGATTGATGTCATATCATGATACTTTCATTTAAAAAATTAACCAATTTTGTTTCATTCACTATCTATATTCTTAAATTTTTATCTATTTGATAATTATGATAACTTTACTTTGGCACTTCTTCAGGGATCAAAATAACAATGACGATACAGATCAAGGCAAAAAGAGAAACATTAAAGATATGCAAGATATTATAGGAAATATTAACGACGAGCGAAAAGAAATACCAGGAATATTATTGATATCGAATAATGGAGACGATGAACAAGGCAGCAAACCACAGAACGTAGAACTGTTCAAATTTCTGGTAAGCGCCAGCTACATTAATTACAGAATATTAATATTAATTACAGATTATTGCTTGTTAATTTATCATTATCGTTTTCAGAGTGATACCAACGATAACTTTAAATGAACGGATAAACCACTATTATAAAACATAATGTAAAATAGAAATTGTCATAAATGTATTGTAATTCAACTAATAAGAATATTGTTTAAACCACTCGATTAGTGATTCTGTTTCTCGAATAAAACTTGGATGACCGACTTATCAATACTTAAATCAACATCCCTGGTTACATATTTATGAACACACGATATGTATTTAATATTTAACAAAAAGTAATAGTTATTGAACAAACTTGTACAAAAAACAAAACACTACAGAGCAGAATTGTTGATAATAGTATAATTCCATGACGTATTTGTCTTCATTTATTGCAAACAAAACGAAATCTCCGTTCCACTAGAAATTAATATCAATTACTCATCTAATGCTCATGTCTCAACTAATCATTGCACAGATGCTACAGTCACATCCATTTATCATTAAGTTTGCACAGATGTATCATAACAATTTGATTAATCTATATCGCTTTTAGAACCGATATGTTACCAGTAATACCTAAGTAATTAATGTTTTATTCATTCAGCATCGAAACTTTAATGAATTAATTTACAAATAATAGGTTTTAGAATCACAAGTGTAGGATGCAAAAAACGGTAGCACCTGACAGCACTTGATAGCCCTTAACAGCATAAAAACCACTCAATAATGTCTACAAATGCTTCTAATAAACTCTAATTTAATTAAATAAAAAGAAACTCAAATTTCAAAATAAAGAAATTCAAATTTGTAAATTAATTCATACTAACCTTTAAATATTAAATATACTTAGGTATTTCGTTTCTAACGTACAACCTAATATACTAAAATTATGAATAGGTTATTAATTAACTATAGACATAAATTTTCTGTTTACTTTCTTTTTTATTTCCTAAGTGTGCAATACAATTCAGCCCATTTTCAATCAGATTTGGCAAAATATGGATCGTATTGAACGCCATAAGTATAATAAGTCTAATCATGTAGAAAACATTCAACAATGTTACTCTGTCCTTAAAAACTAATCAGTCATACTTTATATTTTAGCAGTAATCGTGCGAAATAATTTCAACATTGAGTAAAAATTTTGTTGAAATCATTCTTCGAGACTAAACCAACAGACAGAAATAATTCTTTTTCTATCAGGCAAGTTCAATGTCTGCTTTCGAATGGAAGATGGAGAACATTAAGATCTATGTAATCCTTCTTTAACAATCGATATTCAACAAATTCGGTGTACTACTCAGGATGATATTACTGGCGTTCACAGTGTTTATAACAAAGGTTTCAATATCACAATTACAAAAATATGATCATCATTGTTCGTAACGCTTTCTTAAAATTATAAAAACAACCACACAGTTTTCAATCTGCATACTTATAATGCAGTTACATCTCCTCACGCAATCCATTATGTCGTATTCAAAGTTAATCATTCTAGAAGTTAATCGAGTAATATTCATTCAACGCATCACTCCGAGATGTTACAATATCGATTATTTCTCCAGGAGTTATTGCTCATTAAGATTCTCTACTGTTTTAATTTAATCTTTTGTACTCATTCTTACTGTCTCGTTTATCGTTTCTTTCACATCTTCGAACATTGCTTCGAATTGCTTAGAAGAAAGTGGAGTGAAACACTTAATAAAATCAGGACACATTCTACGGTAAATTTTGCTTGTGAGCTTATTCCATTTAACCATCTGTATGTCGTGTTTTTCCGCATTTATAAGATAATGTTCTAGGAACTACAAGTTTTGTTGTTTTAGTAATAATCTCAATTAATTCACACAAAAAATAAACTTAACGCTACAAAACACAAAAACTCATCATATATGTTCTATCTATAGACCATTCAGAGTATCATGTAGCTGCAATGTATGAACATAACCTCAATTATAAAGAGATGCTAAAAATGTGTGTCTATGCTGTCTGGAACAAGGAACTAAACAAACAACAAAGCAAAAAACTAGATAAATGATGGTCTTTCAGCAGCATGATTTTATGAATGCTCATCTAAAATACATACACGAAGTGTACAATTAAAAGCGTATCGACGAATTCTAGCTTTTCTCACATGTTCATTGTTGCGCGAAGATAAACGAGTTTCCCTCTCACGATGTTTCTATACCACTCTTAAACTTTCCCCCGGATACAAGAGTCTCTCTGGGGCTCTTTTCCCTACATTTGTTTGTCTTTTTTTTTTTTAATTAACACGCATGTGTCGCACGCTTAGCCCCATCGCATGCTCGCTTAATCGACTAGTCACGTTTGTAGATGCACCTTATCGTTCTCATTCCGCGTCTAATGCATTACTGTTTTACTTTGAATTCCCCTTCATCGTGCCCATTTGTCGTCCACCACGCAGGTAGACGCAGCATCAGCGAGAACTTCTTTTCTTTCTCACAGCGAACCTAAGGACTCGATTCGATTCGAGTCAATCGCCAGTGTTATCTGATTATGAGGTTTTATCCTCACACTGTGTCTTCTATCATGCCCATCCTGCGACTCGGGCAAATCGATGCGGCAATGTGACCAGCCAATTAAAAGGGAAAGTTCAACGATACGCCTTCGCCCTTTCCGCCCATGCGAATAAGTCCACGCTGGGGATGGCTTCGAAGTCCGTGCAGGATGTCATCTCGTTTCTGTTGAAAGACATGAGAATTATTCTATTTACTGTCTCAAACATATTCGGACACCGATATATTAAATAAACTGGAAAGTAATGTCGTTTCTTTTACATTAAATTCAACCAGATTTTTAATAAATTTCTATTTTTAATCAGTTATGCAATCGCCATCGTTATCAACAGCCTTTTGTCATCTATTGTACAAATTTTCAATGCCAGATCGATAAAAATCAACGAGTTGAGTGATAAATAGGTATTTAAAAACGACGTTTTTTCCAGTCCACTTAATAGTTCACAACTGTGACTATGTGATCGAAGCGAAAGAAGCATTCCAAACTTACCCTGGCTGTGGCCTGAGGAAAACATTGGGCTGCATGTGTGTAATGCCGTTTCCGTTGTCGCAGAATATTCTTGCTAATGTCACGTTCTGTATCTCTTCCATTTGCTCTGTAACAAAATGTTTATTTAAATATATGTACCCTTAATGTCGAAGGTAATCTCAAGTAATGCCTATTTAAGATTGGATTAGTTCTTACTTGGTGTGAAAGGATAAGGCTGAAATACAGAATCGTAGAAGTATCTGTCGGTGCGACGGGTTCGCGCAAATTGTTCAAAAATCAAACAACGGAAAGTTGGTCCCAATAGCCCGTCATCCGCTGGTCTTTCAGCCATTCCGCCAATAATGAGGTCTACATCATTAGGATGGGCGTAAAGCGTACGCAATTTCTTGATCATCTGTTAACAAAATACGTAACATTTTATAGCTCTGATCCTAGATAAGAACATTACTTCATCAAGTATTTCATTTAAGAGATATTTACCTCCTGTGGAATGTAATCTAAGAAGTCGTCAAAATTCTTCGCAGCCGGAAGTCCGCAGAATTTACGGTAGTGATTGTAACCTGGTAAACCATGGTCACGGCCGCGTTGAATGTCCAAACTGATAGCATCTAAACCAAGGTTGTTGTTGTCGTCTTTACTTGCGAACAATCTGCTGGTTACCTAAAACAACATGAATAATTATTAATATAGCTCAAAAATCACTCTTATCTGTTACTGTAAAAACAGTAACGCATACTTACATCTGCGATTATGTGGATGTCCATCTTCTGACAGGTCTGGGTAGCCATGCCACGAAGTAATCCATCAAACACTTCATCCGACTCGATTATACTAGGTTTGAAGAAATTCTCTACTAAAGAAAGCGTGGTATTGACTTGGCGCGTGTTGTCTGTCAAGCTGAAAAACAAAGACATGTGCGTTACAAAAAGAAAGTTAAAAAATAGAGCAATACATTTCGCATTCTTATAACTCACTGTAGCTTTTCTTGCATCATAGAAGTCAAAAAACGCAGAGCAGCCGTTGCGACCTCGTTACTGACTGCTGGATCATCCTCGGAATTATAATTACGACTGTAAGTATCTCCAACGGTGAGCCCAACAGCCCGAGTGAACCTCTTGCCTAACAGTAAGGGCAACCACTCCTTGTAACTGATATGCTGAATTTCAGCAATTACTATTCGCCTAGCTTCTTGGTACAGTTTCTCATCTGACCAGGTGGGATTCAGTTCGCCAAGCTGGTCAGCGATTCGGTTATGCTCGCGATGCCAGACAGTGTGCAACACAGCTAACTGCGGATGTGTGTTTACGCGAGGATCACCTGCAATAAACATTTAGACCAAACGATTAACGTTAAGAGAAGAACCTTAGATGGATAATAGAGAATAAAACCAAAAGCCAGAAGTACAGAATCAGAACATGCTAGTATAGGTAATTACCAGAATTGTAACAGTTATCTGCACACTCAAACGAGATTTCCAAGCCTCCAACAGGCAAAAATTCATGACCATTGTCAGTGTGAACTCGTAATCGTCCTCCTTCGAATATGCGCAGTTCACGAGATTTCGTCAAGGTAGAACCATAGATCATTGAGCCATCCAGAAAGTGACTCGCCTGATTCATCTATCAATCGAAAATTGTGGTTAATTCCTTTCATTATTGCTGAAAATCGTAACCAAATGCTTTATTATAGAGTCCACCGATGTTGATGACCAATGAACATCTTCAATAAAGTATTGTTTTGTCTTTAAGATCATCTTCATTAGTATCACCAAGATACTAGATCACCAAATCTAATAGAAAAAAGTTTGTTACCTGTTCTAATGGTCCAAACGTGCAGTCAGATCTGAGAACAGGCAAAGATCGCACGTAGTTCATGCATCGAACATAATGCTCGCCATAAACAGGATCCTGATCGGATACTGTAATTGGGTAACAGTAAGGATGGACGTGTCGAGGAGACAATGTGTATCCGTCTGGTCGACAGCACGAAATTGGCTTTCCTGATGACACTAAAAACATAAGACAAATTGGTTACTATTATTACCTCGTTGCGTTGCAACTATTAATATGAACAATGGAAATGGATACACATGAGAGATAAGAAGATTTCATAATTATTCTGTTAAAAATATTTTCTCACTGTTGATAACGCTTTTTTCTAGTTTATATTTTAAGTTTTTTTTTTGTTCTACATGACGCCGTTGGCAACACTGCGCTTAAAAAGGATGTATGAGGTCGTGTATAAGATGTACAATGAATAAAGTATTGGGCTGTCTGGAAAGTCCATGCTGATTTTTAGTGGGGTACAGGTCTGAATATATTGAAATGGCTGAAAACAAATAACACGTATACATTCCTCAAAAGATGGAAAGGTTGTAAAACAAAATGGTACATATATAATTCAATAAATATACATCAAAATTCAAATATGCCTTTGAATTTTTTTTAAAAATAGAAATAAACTTTCCAAACAACCCAATAGTAATTGTAATTGTGTGATCAATTAAAAGTAGCTAAT